GGATATGGTTCAGTAGCACAGTGCCTGCTTGGCGCGCATGAGGTCCTGAGTCCAGTTCACAGTTCAAAAAAAAATCATGCAGTTTCTCCCAGTCATTCATTGCCTGCAGCAGACTTCTCATCAAGGCCCCCAAAGGTGCTTCAGAAGCTCCAGACATGGGGTCCTTGCCACCTCTGTCCATGATCTCTTTTCTGGGACCAGAGCAGCCTAAGGAGTCTCCCAGGCCTCTGGCACTGCCAGCTAGCTGTCCCTTGCCATCCTGTCTGCCTGTGTTCTGCATGACAAAGCATCTACAGGCCAATGTCCCTAGGGGTGGATCTTGGAAATTCCCAGTGCACAGGGGACAAAGGCATCTCCTTCTTCAGCTGCTGACAGAGAGGCAGGGCAGCCTTCTTGGTCATGAATCCCTCCTTGGGAGGCTGTGGATATCCAAAGTTCAGCATGGCACATGGAAATCCTACAGCAGCCACTGCTGTAGGATCTGCCACTCATCTGCTTGAAACCACAGACCAAGAAGGTCCAGGACAAGCCAAGGAATGATTATCTGTGACTGTTATCACAAAGCTCAATGCCAAAGTCCTTCATGTGTCAGGAACATGGTGACTTCTGTCACCTCAGGCAGGAAGGGCACTTGTGCTGACTGCTGGCTGGAACTGCACAGTGAGGACATGGCGGACACAACCACGGGCTCTATCCCAGGTGAGTCCAGGGTCCTGCTGGAGTGAGACCAACAGGAAGCTGTCTGCACAAAGCAGACCCTTTCTTCCAATATTGCATCAGTCCCTGTGACTTGCCTGGGATAAAGCCTGGGATATGGCTCAGTGGTAGAATATTTCCTGGCATGTCTGAAGACCTGGGTTAAATCCTTACTCCAAAAAATCCAAAAATTGGGGCTGGGGATTTAGCTCAGCGGCATAAGTACCTGCCTTGCAAGCATGTGGTTGTGAGTTCGATCCCTGGGACCAATAAAAAAAAATCCAAAAATAATTAGTTGCTACCAAATTTTCTGAAAAAAATAATTATTCAGTCAGATATTAATAAAAAAATAGACCTTAATATCACAAAGGGCCAAGCACAATGGCATATGCCTGTAATTCTAGGTACATACTTGGGAGGCTGAGGCAGCAGGATTGCAAATTCAAAACCAGCTTAGTCTACATAACAAGTTTAAGGCCTGACTACATAATAAGAGTCTCTCTCTCTCTCTCTCTCTCTCTCTCTCTCTCTCTCTCTCTCTCTCATACACACACACACACAAGTCCCAAAGATCAACTTCTGTTTCTAGAATATTAAAGTCCTGGGGCTGGGGATCTGGCTCAGCAGCATAAGCACCTGCCTTGTAAGCAGGCAGTTGTGAGTTCGATCCCTGGCACCAATTAAAATTGAGGTTCGAGAGTGCTTGTCTGAAGTCTTCCAGCTGACAGTGGGTACAGCCCAGAGCCCAGAACCCCTCAAATCAAAATGGAACAGGCAGGACAGGCTGGGGACACATGTGCTGTCTGTTCACAGCCCACATAAGTTCAGAAGGCTGCCTCGGATCCTCCTCAGGCCTCCTCACTGATGACCTAGCACTGCTGGCCAGCACCTGCTGACAGGGCCGCTATCTAGAGACCTGGGCCATGACCTGACTCCAGGTCCAGGGCTGGCCCCGAGATGGCCTCTGACAGTAAAGGGCAGCCACACCAAAACCTTTTGGTAATGAGGAAGTACCAGTTAGCAAGTGCCTTAGAAAGCACAAAAGAATCAAGACAGAAATGAAGGACATTGCCCAGAATAATGTACAGCCAACATCCAGGCAGCTGGCAGACAGCTCTGAATGAGATCCGGGGGAGGAGGAGGCTCTGAGCAGCTGGCTTGCCCACAGAGCCCTCTCTTCTCAGGTCTGGATCCTGGGATATCTGTTTTTAGTTTGTTCATGTTTTGGGTTTTGAGACAGGGTCTCACTACATATATCAGCCTGGCCTTGAAAGCATGTGTGTAGCTCAGGCTGGCCTCAAATTCATAGCAGTTATTCTGCCTCCGCCTCCAGAGGGCTAGAATTATAGGCTTGCACCATCATGCCAGCCTAGCCCTTTTTTTTTTTTTTTTTTTTTTTTTTAGTCCTTTTTCATTTTGGAAATTCAAATGCCCAAACTGGGCTGGAACTTGACATCCTCCCGTCTCAGCCTCCAAGAGTGCTGGGCTCACAGGTGTGCACCACCACTACACCAGGTTCAGACTCAGGGATGCCTGTACCCTCCAGGAAGCTCCACATGCTGGGGCAACATGAGTATCTGCTCTGCCACCCTGGAGCCAGGACAGAAGTTGCCATATCCACCTCTCATCTGCCAGACCCCGTCATAGCCAGCTGAGCACCGCTGGTGAGTGACTGAGTTTGAGTAAATGAGAGGGAAGCCCCTTTCCTAGGCCTTTATTTCTCACAACACAGCTGTAATAACTCCATGGCCTAAATGCTCTGTGTTTCACAAGCTCCTTTTACATCTGTTTGCTGCATTTTATCTTCATAACAACCCTGTGGGAAACCCAGGGATGACATTAGCTGGCTTTGCAGATAATTATCCCCATTTTACTGATGAGAAAATTGAGGCCTGGAAAAGTTAATAACTTGTTCAAGGTCACAGGCTGGAAGGACAGGACCCAACATTCTTTCCCAAGATCTGTCCCTTGCCCTGACTCTTACTGAATCACCAGGCAGAATCTAGACTGCAATAACAATTTTATTTCAAATAGTTGTAATAGGATTGTATCCTAAACTCTCATAAACACATTCAGATCCACTAAAGGCTGAGTCACAAACAACACTGGTGTGCAGGGTGGGTGTGGCTTGGTCACCTGCCATCATGACTTTGTTGCATAAATTCCTATGGGTACAAAAAGTCACCTTTTGGGAGTTTGCTAGTCACAGGACCACCTTGGGGAGAATGGAGCAGGACACAACCACTGGAAGCCATAAAGTCAGCAGAGCAACACCCTCTGGTCTTTTTTTCTTTTTGGTAGTAGGGATTGAACTCATGGCCTTGCATTTGTCAAGCAGGCACTTGTGACATTGAGCTAAATCCTTGGCCCACATCCTGGTCTTTTAACCAGAATGCAGTGGAGGTGCTGGGTGTAGTGGCATATGCCTATAATGCCAGAACTAGGGAGGCTGAGGCAGGGGAATGGCTGAGAGTTCGGAGCCAGCCTGCACTACACAGTGAGATCCTATTTGAAAAAAAAAAAAAAATTCAACCAAACAAAAAAATGTAGCACAGGAGGAAATAGGAAGCATGGATCAATTGTGAAGGAAGATTATACAAACAAGAGAAGTAACTAGTGAAGATCAGTAGTAGACCTGAGCTAGAGGCTGCTCTTTCCACAAACTAACCCAGTTCTCCAATGACAGTGCACAAGGTGAGGGTTGCCTGGCAGGTCACTCAGCAGACTTCCTCAGGCCCTTCATTTCAGGGCTTCAAGCACACAGAATTGAGTCTGTGGGCAGGATGGTGCCCTGTGGGCCAGCCACATGTGTGAATGTGTGACTTTATGTTTGTGGGCGTGGCAGTGGTATGCAGATCCAGGTACAGCCAGACCAGCCCTGGAACTGTGTCATCAGCCCTAACTCTGATCTTGGGCAGAAGAGTTTTTTTCTCAATCCCATTCTCCTTATCCGAAACATAGATATGAAAAGTATTTACTCCACAGAACTTGAATATTATGTCAGAGTTTGACATGGAGCCAGGCACCAGTCAGCACTCAAAATGCTGGTTTGTTAAAATGATTCATTGTAGGCATCTGGAACACAGAAAAACACAGAGACAAACATCTGTCACGGGAGCCCTACCTCTATGGGATTGGCTGGCCTCAGCCTTTACAGCACTGAGTGCGCAGGGAGGAGACCTGGGTGGATCACAGCTCTCAGTGGCCCTCCCTGTGCTGCACAGCTTGGACAGGCATGTGGCCCTGCCTGGGCCAGCAGTACAGCTGCCCATGGGTTGAGACAACAGTTCCCCTCTTCCTCCTTGCTGGTACCACGCCTCCGCATTTCCCATGAACAGCATATGGCCTGGTGCACGCATGGCCTGGGCCCTCGGCTTGGCTGGGTGCCACAACCACTGGGGGGGGGGTAAGTTGGTGGGTGGGGGTGATTTGCAGAAGTGAGTCAGCTGTCCATCAGGAGAAAACAAGCAAGCTGGTCTGAGGAGATGGTTATCAATGTGAAATTAAGCATCTGTACACAAGTATCCCACTCTTGCATGAACCATGAAGTGCTCAGAACATTCCTTTCCAAACTTTCTCATCTGCCTTTCCTGCTGCAGGCTGAACTTGTTTGGGGTTTCAGCGACAAAAGAAGACAACTGTCACTTCCTGTGCACATCAACCCTTGTCGGGCTTGACTTTATGCCTCTCAGCCCTCTCGGGCAATAAACGGCTAAGCCCATTCCCTGGGCTGACTTTCACATTTCAGAAAACAGCCGGCTTCCTCCGCAGTCCGGACCCCAGACGCCTGCTCCCTGGCACATCATTCTTCCCAAGCTTCTTCGGTCTGCGGGAAGTGCTAAGAGGACACAAATATCTCCAAATTAACATAGTAGAGGGGACTCAGTCATGCCTCCTTAGACATGAGAACCATCCAGCCAGGGTCCTGAGGGGGCCTTGCAGCCGAGGTGGAAATAAGATCCAGATATGAAAACCCGAGACCTGCAGCCTCCTCGACGAAGTCCAGGGACTCCAAGCCAGCCCGAGGCCTTCGGGGGCGCCCCCGACTCGCTCCACTGGCGGAAGCAGCGCTGGGGTTATGGAGTCAGGGAACGTAACCCTTCGGACTGACAATTCCAAAAGAGTCAAACTCCTGACGGAGGGGGAACTCTAGGCTTTTAGCAAGTCGTCAGAGATCACGACAGTCAGGAACTGGGTGGGTACGGGTACCCGCCCGCGCGGGAGGCGGACTCCCGCACTCCGCAGGCGCCAGGACTGCGCAGGCACCCAAACCCGCTCCGTCCCGCCCCGAGTGCGCATGCGCCATGAAGAATCCCGCCTGCGCAGTCGCCGCCTCTGTCGACATGGCTGCGATGTTGCTGCTGCTGCGCGTCCTCCGCCAAGGCCCAGGTCCGGGTCCCGGGAGGCTGTGGGGCCCAGGTTCGAACCTCTCCTTCGGGCCTGCGAGCAGGCGGCCATACGTGGTCTGCAGGCCTTCGCTGGGTGTCGCCGGGACCGGAAGCCAAGTTCTGCAGGTAACCGTGCGCTCAGCCTCGGTGCCTTACGGCTCTTCTGGCCTATTCCCAGCCTGTTACTGGGGATTGACGTTTCTGCCTGACGCCAGGGCGTTTTAGGATTGAATCCAGTAAGGTTTCTGCCGGTTGCTAGGAAAGCATGGTTTTGCATTGGCTCACATCGCCGGGTGGATCACATGAGTTCAGGCGCTTTCTAAGGACGTCAGTTTGTTGCTCTGAGCAGCTGTTGCTGCAAACTGAGCACCGGGGTAGCTGGTTCCTGACAAGTGCATAGGCAACCCCACCCCTCTTCCAGCTCTGCTAGGGGGCATCTTTGCCTGAGACATAAACATTTTGTTATTTTAAAACTGAAACGATGCTCCCACTGTTCACTTTTAAGGGAAATGTAAACTATAAATAACGTATTTTTCTTTTTGGTACGGGGGATCGAACTCATGACCTCGCGCTTGCCAGGCAGGTGCTTGTGCTGCTGAGCTAAACCCCAGCCCACATAACTTATTTTTCATATCGTGGATTGAATGCAGGCCTTCGCACTAAGCTACATCTTGAGTCTTTTTTATTTTCTATTACTTTACATACATAATTTTTTGGAGTAGGGAAACATAGTCTTGCTGTGTACTCTAGCCCAGGCTGGGCTCCAGCTCAAGGCAATCCTCTTGCCTCAACCCCACAAGTGCTGCAATGACAGCTGTGTACCACCACATCCGCCTTTATTTTATTTTATCTTATTTTATTTTTTGTCTTTTTCATTTTTATCAGTACCAGGGATCGAACTCACGACTGCCTGCTTGCAAGGCAGCCCCTATTTTTATTTTGAAATGGTTTTGCTAAGTCACTAGATTTTCCAGACTGGGCTCCCAGAGGGCTAAAATTATAGGCATGTGGTATCAAGACTGACTGGCCGTATTCGAGCTTTTTAAAAAAGTTTTTAGTCTGTATTATTAAAAACCTCTAATTTTGTTGAGAAAAATAATTTCTTTAGTTAGATCCTATGTTTATTCTGTGAAGATAGATGAAGTAGATAATAAACATATACTTAAACAGTTCGAGTATGTGTGTGTGTGCATAGTGTTAAAGATTGAACCAGGGCCAGGAATGGTGGTGCATGCCTATAATTCCAGCACTCATGAGGCTGAGGCAGGAAGATCGTTGCAAGTTCGAGACCAGCCTGAGCTACAAAGTGAGTTCAAGGCCAGACAAAAACAAAAACAAAAAATGTTGAATCAAGGTCTCCCACATAATAAACAACCACTTTGCCACAGAGTTATGCCCCAAACATTTTTTTCGAGTGGGGGAGACAGGGTTTTACCAAGTCACTAAGTTGCTCAGCCTTGCCTCAAATTTGTAACCCTCCCTCCTAAACTCGCTGAGTGCCTGGGATTGCAGGTGTCTGCCTCCTGATGTGGGCCAGCCAGATTGATTTTGTTGTTGATGCTGATTTTTTGTCTTGTTTTCTTTTGTTTTTGTTTTTGTTTTTTTTTTTTTTTTTTTTTTGAACAGTAGTTTAGGCTGGCTTTGAACTCACTATTGTAGCCCATGCTGGTCTTGAATTTGTGACACTCTTTCTGCCTCAGCCTCCCAAGTATTGGAATTATAGGCCTGTGGTACCACACTGTTTGTAAGCAGATTTTGTATCAGATTGCACTACTAAACTAAACTAACTGTAGTTTAAACTGTTTAGGGCTGACTTTTTTGGTTTTATTTTTTGGTCAAGGCTGGTCCTGAACTTGCTCTTAGAGCAGGGTGACCTGGAAATCATGGTGATCCTCCTGAGTACTGAAATTGCAGATACATGATACCATGCCTGGTTTAGGGCTAACTTTGAAGAATACCAACTTTCTGCTTTTTTTTTTTTTTTTTTTTTTTCTGCTGGTCAGGGTCTCACATGTATTCTATGCTGATCTTGAACTTGCTGTGTACCCTAGTCTGGCCTCCAGCTTTCATTCCTCCTGCCTCAGCCTCCTGAGTGCTGGAATTACAGGCATGTACCACCATGACTGGCCAGTTTTGTGGTTTATCTACTACCCCAATGTTGCTCCTTTACTGGGTTCAGTTCGAACTCTCTAGCCCTCAGTGAGGCAGGAATGGTAGTAATGAAATGGGGCAGTAAATCAGTGGCATAGCCTTGGAATTTTCATCCCATTGCTAATAGGAAGTTGCATGTGATACACGCTTTAGCAAAGAAGTTTGAGCAGAGCATTCCTCTTCTCCCTAGCAGCAGCACAGCAGGGAAGAACTAAGGAGAAACTGAAAGGGGAAAAGAGAAATTGACAACCCAGAGATAGAAAAAAATATTAAATTGGACCAAAAAAGCAGAAAGTTTGCATTCTTCAAAGTTAGCCCTAAAGTAGGCATGATATCACAAGCCTGTAATTTCAGTACCAGGCATGATGATGCATACCTATAATGCCAGTGCCTGAGAGGCTAAGGCAGGAAGATTGCAAGCACAAGGCCAGCCCGGGCAGTTTTGTGACTTAATAAGACCCCATCTGAAAATTTTAAAAAGGGTTAGAGATACAGCTCAGTGTAAAGGTCCGGGATTGCCTCCCCAGTACCATCCCAAAATAAATATGTAAGTACATTGGCACAGTGATCTTAAATGGAGCTCAGTGGTAGAGCACTTGCCTATGTGTGGGAACCTCTGAATTCCATTCCAGTACTGCAAAAAAAGGGACATTGAATACTTTCAAGTGGGAAGGTGTTCATGTAGGAAAGAGTGCTGACAACATGGGCTGTCGAGCAGCTTTCCTGCTGGATGTGCTCCCACGGAGCTCTGGATGCACAGCACAAGGCCAGCCATCTCCAGAAGCCCGAGGCTGAGCTCCACTGTTGGCCTGGCTCTGTAACTGGACATTTAGGTGTTACCTTAAAACTTTGAAATAATGCACATCCTGTCCACATTTCAGGGCAGGGTGAACATTACAAATAAATACAAACGTGGGCTTTTGAAAAACATTGTCTACATGGGTTTGTTGTACTTGCAGTCTTGGGTGACTCAGTCCTGTTCTGTTTTTTAGAGCTTGCAGCTGAGAATGCTAACGCCTGCCTTCAAAGGGCCCGGTGGATTGCTGCTGAAACAGCATCTAGTTCAAAACCCAGCGGGACTTTGGCGACTTTTAGGTGTGTGTTTGTCAGTAACAAGTGACACAGCAGAGGTAGTGGTGTTTGTGAGCCCACAGTCACACAGTACCTTTTTCTATCAGTGATGAACCACATTTCTGGTGAGGCCGGGAGACCATAACTGAGTTGGAAAATTCCTGTTGCCTAATGGTGTAGTAGTGACCAGGTATGCTAGTAGCCTGCGGTGTTCAGAAACACTGCATGGAGATGTAGTCCAGGGCAGTCAGCTCTGCCATCTAGGCCTAGGGAAATATGTGGTCATGTTGGTGTGATGATGAAGTGACCTAATGAAGCACCTGTCAGAACATATCCTGTCCCAGGTGTGGTGCCACACACCTGTAATCCCAGCATATGGGAGGCTGAGCAGGAGGGTCACTGTGAGTAGCTCAGGCTGGGCTGGAACTTGTATCCTCCTGCTCAGCCTCCCAGAGCATAGGGATTATAGATCTGCGCCTCGTTCATTATTCTATAATTAGCAGATACTGTTTTAGGAATAGGACAGAAAGGCTTTATCAGCTCACGTGGATTCCTCATGTGTGTAGGTTTCAGATGGTTTCCATTGTGATTTGGTCTTTGGGTTTGTCATGTTCTCCCTTGTGTTTCCTCTGTAGATTTGAGCGTGGTTGTTACATTGATTGCTTGCAGGTGGTGCTTACTATTTTACTACCTCAAGGATGAAGCAGAAGAATAAAGACAGTGATGAGTCCAAGGGGAAGGCTCCTGGAAATGATGAAGGTACCCCTGTCTGATGTTCTAAAGCAGTGGCTACCTCTGGCATCTTCACATGTGTGTTCTCCTCTTAGCAAGGGGGAGCCATCCTTGAAGGTGGGGGAGCCCAGGTGTCTGGGGTTGCCTGTGCTTGTGCATACTGCCTCCCTGGCCCCTCCCCTTTCTGTCTCTGAGTGTATCCTAGATTGTTCATGCATGTTCTTTTTTTTTTTTAACTTTTTATTAGTACTGGGGGTTGAACTCATGACTGCCTGCTTGCAAGGCAGGTGCTTATGCTGCTGAGCTAAATCCCCAGCCCTGTTATATAATTACAGTGCTTTCATGCCCAGCATGAACTATACTGAGACCCTGTCTCAATATCCCCCCCTCCCTCAAAAAAGAACATGCACTGTATAGCCCAGGATGACCTTGTATTTTGAATGATCCTCCTGCCTCAGCTTCTGGAATGCTGGGATTATTGGTGTATGCTACCATGCCCAGTTTGTGAATGTTCTTTTAAGATTAGGGGCTGGGGATTTAACTCAGCGGCATAAGCACCTGCCTTGCAAGCAGGCAGTCGTGAGTTCAATCCCTGGTACCAATACAAAAAAAAAAAAAAACATTTCTGTGGGCATCTGTGTCCCTGTGCTACATTCAGAAATACCTAAAGCACAAGGACTTTCTTTTTTTCTTTCTCTCTTTGTTTTGTTTTTTTGTTTGTTTGTTTGTTTGGTTTTTTTGTCTTTTTGAGACAGGGTTTCTCTATGCAGTTCAGGCTGGCCTTGAACTCACTTTGTAGCCTAGGCTGGTCTCAAACTCGCAATGATCCTCCTGCCTCAGCCTCCCGAGTGTTGGGATTACAGATGTGAGCCACAAAGCCCGGCTTCCAGATGGACTTTCTGTGTCTACACAGAAAGGCCGAAACTTAGCTTTGTCCACTGTGCTCACCATGCCCTCCTGCTCAGTGTTGGTTTCCCTGGGCTTGGGAAACAGGCCCCAGAAGACAGCAGTAATACATAGAGTAGTCCAGTGTAAGAGTGGCCATTGTGGACCAGCTCATCTGGCTCTTAGTCCTGTTCACAACTCACTTACAGAATCTAAGAACACCTCATTTCTGCGCTGGAATTAGGACTCACTTGCTAGTGGGAAGGGTGAGAGTTTAACTGAACTGACTAGTTTCTGAGAACTGTAAGTTAAAAGTTGATTGTAGGGGCTGGGGATTTAGCTCAGCGGCATAAGCGCCTGCCTTGCAAGCAGGCAGTCGTGAGTTCGATCCCTGGTACCAATAAAAAGGAAAAAGACCCAAAAAAAAAAAAAAGTTGATTGTAAGCTGGGCATAGTGGTCCACCCCTGTAGTTTTACCACTTGGCAGCCTGGGCTACATAGTTTAAAGCCAACCTGAACTGCATAATGAAACCCTGTCTCAAAGAACTGGGGTGGGGGGGGGCACTGCTTGTTTGCTATTAGCTATTTGAAGCTAATAATGTGGAAATTTTGTTAACTTTTAGTATGATTAGTCTGTGCTTGGTGCTTTAGTCTGTGCTATATTAAATGAGTTACATGTACAATTTGTCACTTAATTCTGTTCTCAAAATAAGGCTTTTTTTTTTTTTTTTTTTTTTTTTTAGTACTGGAAGTAGACTCAGGGCCTTCACACTGAGCTATATCCCTAGCCATTTTTATTTTTATTTATTTTTACTTTTATTTTTATTTTGAGACAAGGTCTCAGAAGTTGCTCCAGGCTGGTCTCAAACATTAGATCTTTTTGCCTCAGCCTCACAGATTGCTGGTTTACAACATATGTACCACTGTGACCAGCATGATAAATTAAGTTCAATAATAACTGAATGAATTAAGTTCTAAAAGCAAAATTGTAAATGAATTAGAAGAACATATAGAAACATTGTCTTAAAATGGGCAAGTTTTGTTTGTTTGTTTGGTAGTGCCAGGGGTCAAACCCAAAGTCTTGTTGCCACTAAGCTACATAGCTAGCCCCTTTTTAAAAAGTTTTTACTTAGAGACATGGTCTTGTTAAGTTGTCCAGGCTGTGCTTGAATTTGTGATCCTCCTGCCTTAGCCTCCTGAGTGTCTCATTTTACAGGCATTTACAGGCATTTTTATTTTTTATTTTTATTTTATTTTTTGGTTTTGAGATAGGATCTTACTAAATTGCCCAGGGAGAACTCTGCATCCAGCTGCAAGAAAGTTTTTTTGTGTTAGAAAGGTTTCCTATTGGGGCTGGGGATTTAGCTCAGCGGCATAAGCGCCTGCCTTGTAAGCAGGCAGTCGTGAGTTCGATCCCTGGTACCGATAAAAAGGAAAAAGACAAAAAAAAAAAAGGAAAGAAAGAAAGAAAGGTTTCCTACTATCTGAAGTAGGGGCCGCTCTTCTTTCCTTCTGAGATGACCTCAGTGCATGAAGTTGGTGACACAAACAGCGTCTTCTCAACTGAGCATTGATAAACCAGTGAGTCATGTATGGTGGCACAAACTGAAACTGAGCAGTCTGGGAGGCTGCAGCAAGAGGATCTTACATTCAAGGCCAGAGTGAACAAGTTAGTGGTTTAGAGTGAACCTGTCTCAAGAGAAACAAATGAAAATAGGGCTGGGGATGTAGCTCAGCGTGAAGGCTCTGGCTTAGTTCCAAGTAACATGCACATACGCACACATACACAGCCGAAGCACAGGGTCCTGTGGGATTGTGGGCCCTGCCCCTGCAGGTGAGCTCTCCTGAAGACCATAGAGGAGTGCCGTGCGGGGCCACCTTGCCTACCATTGGGCACCTCACCATCGTGTGCCCATACAGAGGAGAGGCGGCGCAGGGAGCGGGAGGACCAGATGTACCGAGAGCGGCTACGCACACTATTCGTCATTGCCGTGGTCTTGAGCCTGCTGAACTCGCTCAGCTCCAGCGGAGGCAACATCTCCTGGAATGACTTCGTCAGTGAGATGCTGGCCAAGGGCGAGGTGCAGCGTGTGCAGGTGGTGCCTGAGAGTGACGTCGTGGAGGTCTACCTACACCCCGGGGCTGTGGTATTCGGGCGGCCGGTGAGTGAGGGCTCCACACTGTGGTGGGCAGTGGCCATCTGCAGGTCACTGCCTGGCTTGGATAAGGGAGGGGGACAACTGGGTGACCAGCAGAGTCTTAGATGGGGCGTGCTCAGGAAGAGGAGGAGGAGCCTGTCCCTGTGTCTCGTGGGATGCTGTTAGGAGGAGACAGTGCTGCACAGGACCTCCCAGCCACATTCCTGAGCAGCTCTGCTTCACACTGGCCATCCCACCTTGGAACCACTGATGGGACTGACAGAGTGAGCCCAGGTAAACCTCTTCCCTCCGTTGTGGGTATTGGTACGATGTCCCTGTGACAAGAACATGACCTTGAGTCAGCCCGCTGCAGGGAGGTCCACTAAGGGATGGTGAGAGCAGAGCTACAGAGGCTTAAACCCCAGAGGGGGTGGAGCACTGCCAAGAGAGTTGGGCTGTGCAGGGACTGTGTCTGCCCAGTGGAGAACCAGAGGACAGTGAACAGCAGGCAAGGGCATCTGGGCTTTGGGGCCCCTCCTATCCCCAACCGTGTGTGTCACCACATGCATGCAGGAACATTACCTGGGACCCTTCCCTGTTCGTGTTTCCAGCTGTCTCTGCACTGACCTCAGCATAACCTTGGGGAACCCTGAAGTTCCAGTTCCAGTCAAGGGTTCTGAATGGTGTCTGTCATGTCTTTCATCTGCTCTGGTAGTTTTTTGAGTTGAGGTCCAGCTGTGTTGTGGCCATGCTGGTTTCAAGAGGTTTCCCCACTCAGCTGTGGTCAGCTCCTTCTCAGAAGTTGAGCAGGATGACCATGTGATTGCTGGCTGCCACCTTGGCCTGTACACTTGACTGGCACTGGACTCAGTCTCCTCCTGCAGTGTGAGCATCCCTCAGGAGGGCCGCCTCACAGCCCCAGGGATTCCCAGATTGGGCACCCAGGGGCAGTGGCCTGCACAGGTCCCCCTTGAGGACCTGGCCCACTGGTTGAATGACAGCTCACTGGAGCTGTTTCGAGAGTCTGGGCTGGAAGACTGACATGGCAGGCAGGCAGCAGCCTGGGTTCCGGCACTGCAGCCCAGAGTGGTGAGACTGCATGTGCCGTCTGGACAGAGCACATCACAGGCCTTGGGCGTGCATGGTTCAGCCATGCAGAGTACAAGGTTTGAAGCAGCTTCTGAGTTCTTGGCACAGAAAGCAGGTTGTTTCTATGGTTTTCCTTTCTATGCATCTTGGTGATGGCCACAATGGTTGTGCAACTGTGATACCGGAATTGAACCCAGGACCTTTTCAGTGAGCTACATCCCCGTCTGGGTTCAGACTTGCCACTCTCCTGCCTCAACCTCTCTGAGGAGTGTTTTTTGTTCGGTTGTATTTTGCAGCAGTGAGGTCACCCCCACTGCTCAGTGGGGAACACCTAGGGTCTACTTCTTGCTTAGCAAGTCCTCTTCCATTCAAGAGTTTGTATAGATGAGACATATGAGGTCTATGAGGTGACCTAATGCTATAGCCAGCACAGGGTGACTCTGGAATGAGGAATGGGTGAAGACTTCATGCCAGATGGTGCCAGTGCCAGCTTACCCCATCCTTGGAGCCTCACCAAGCTGCTCTGGTGAGAGGGCCAAAGGAAATTCTGTGCATCATTTGGACAAGAAGCAGTGGCATGGGGGACTTAGCTGGCTAGAGCTGGCCATTTGGAGTGAGTGCAGGTCTCCGCATGGGCTGAGCAGTAGAGCTCTGGAAGGCTTTGACTATGCTGTAGATGTGGTGGCAACATACCCACTGCTTGGAAAGCTGAGGGTGAGGATTATGAGTTCAAGGCTAACGTGGACAACTCATTAAAAAGCTGAAGAGACAGGCATAGTGGTGCACACCTATAATCCTAGCACTTGGGAGGCCAAGGCAGGAGAATTGGGAGTTGGTGGTCAGCCTGGGCTACACAGCAAGTTTAAGGCCAGCCCGGATTACTTGAACCTTGTTTCAAAAGAAACCAAAGAAAAACAAACCAAAAAAGCAGAAGAAACCCATATGAGTGTGATTCTCATGTGGGTACTTAGGGAGGGGCTGATTGGTTGAGCCCACTGATTGTAGGGTTGTTTTACCTTACAATATCATGCCAACTTTGTCGTCTAGTAACTCTCTCTGAAAGAAGAAGCATTCAGAATGCTGTCCTGGCATTGGGGCACACGGGAAGGGGCAGCAAGTATTTCCTCCTGCCTTGTACCTGTCCTCTGCTACAGCCACCCGCCAAGCCTCTTTCTCTGCTTGGTGGGCAGTGGTCCCTAGCTGGGCCCGTGTGTTAATACTTTGTTTCTCAGATTGCACCAGAGGGATCTAGAGCTTCAGGTTAGATGTCAGATCCTTCCAATGGCATTTTCACCAGAAGGGAAGGGCCCCTGTGGCTGGGCTGTCCCCTCACCCTGCCCTTTCACTCCTCCAGCGGCTGGCCTTGGTGTACCGGATGCAGGTGGCAAATATTGACAAATTTGAGGAGAAGCTGCGGGCGGCTGAGGACGAGCTGAACATCGAGAGCAAGGACAGGATCCCCGTCTCCTACAGGCGTACGGGGTTCTTTGGGAAGTACGTTGGCTGCCTCTGGCAGCTCCTGAACCCACTCAACTTGGCTTTGCACCCGGAGAACAAGCTGTAGACAGAAACCTCACTGGCTCCGCCTTCACCCTGCTGGGGCCAGTGCAGTGGGCAGCCCAGATGCATATGCATCCATGTGGTGGCTGTGTGGCCACAATATGTAGTTGATGTTTGTGGCTTTTGTGTGTGTGGGGGGGGGTACTTGGGATTGAACCCAGGACCTTCCCGCTGATCAAGACCCCCAGCCCTTTGTTACTTTGAGACAGGGTCTTACTAAGTCATTAAGCTGCCCAAGCTGGGCTCAGGCCTGGGATTCTCCTGCCTTCGCTTCCCAGAGTACTGGGATTACAAGCATGAGCCACCTCTCCTTGCAAGCGTTTGGTGTTTTCTGCAGGTACAGAAATGGATCAGAGAGCAGAGAAGGGAGGATGTCAACTAGAAATTCTTGCAGTGCTAAGAGAAACAGATCCATGTGGTGCTGTTGGGCAGTTAGAGGCTGTGGAACCACAGGCCCCGTGGCACAAATGATTTCCATGATTGCACAGCGCACTGTGCCAGGGAGCAAGCGAGGAGTGTGTAGAGAGAGGCTTCTACTTTCTGCGCCCTGCAGGCACCATCTCCCAGTGGGCTCACTGACACCAGGCCTTTGATGTACCCAGAGGTGGCAGGATAGCAGGGCAGATCGCTGAGCGGGTGGGAACCTGAGCCCCAGTGTGGACTCTTCCCCTCACAGTGCTTTGGAGCCCTGTACTGGTCGGGGCCTGTGTGTCCGCACTTAGGCTGACACACGGCGTTCTCACAGAGGCCGCAGCGGCCATTCTTGGGCATCAGCTGCCCTGGTGACAGTCTCTCAGCCCCTGTCTGTCCCCTTCTTAGTGCTCTCTATGCCCTGGGGATGACGGCAGTGGGCCTGGCCATCCTGTGGTACATGTTCCGCCTGGCAGGGATGGCAGGAAGGGAAGGCGGATTCAGTGCATTGGTAAGTGTATGCCCTATGGCTCCTCCTGCTTGTGCGCAGTGTGCAGAGATGAGTTGCAGAGGGCTGTCCCCTGAACTGTGTTGGCTGGGCTGTGAGCATGTCAACCAGTGTATTCTGCAGGGCCCATTTTGATGGGAAAGGTGACTTCCTTGGCCTTGTTTTCAAGGTGTCTTTAAAAAAACCACATTTCCTAGGGCCTAGACAGGGTCAAGAGGTACAGACTCCTGGACTGTGGGTACCTCACAGGAGCCTCCTGCACCAGCCTGGGCTTCACCCTGTTCTCACGGAGAATGCGGCAGATTTCTGTATCTGAGTGAGAGATGTGCTGCGGGTTGAAGCCAGGAGTGCTCTGCCCCTGAGCTGTGTGTTTAGCACTTTTTATGTACTTTATTTTATTTTGATAGACAGGGTCTCAATAAGTTGCCTAGGTTGGCCTTGAACTTGTGATGTTCTCCACATTGATGAGATTGCAAGCCTGTGCCAACATGCCTGGCTCCACACAACTATTTTTATTTGTTCTATTTTATTTATTTACTTTGGTTATTTATTTACTTTCTTTTTTGACACAGGGTCCCTATGTAATTCAGGCTGACCTTGAACACACTGTACAGCCCAGGCTGTCCTTGACCTCATAGTGATCCTCCTGCCTCAGTCTCTTTAGTGCTAGGATTGGAGGCATGCATGCACCACCACACCTAGCTTCACACTGCCATTTTTAAAAATTTTTCCCCCTGCACTCCCCATTTTTAATGGCAGCATGGTGTCACATGGGGCTGCATCTGATTGCATTCAACGAGGTCTGTATTTTTGCTGATTTTGAGTTGCCTGATTATTTGCCTTGCACATCACCCTGAAAGTAGGGTCCCCTGAAGGACACACACTGTGTAATGAGCTTTCTCTGCCTTGGCCATTGTGCTTACTAGCAAGCTGAGACTGTCCGATGCTGAGCACCATTGCATTCTTTTATGATTCAAAGAGGAGATTATGCAACCTGAAGAAAATCACATCAAACAAATAAAAAGACTAGGTAGTTCGTGGAAATGGTTCTAAAGTACCTCTTTGTTTTGTCTTTTGCTGTGTTGGGGTTTTCTCATGGTACAGGGAAGGACTTCACCCTGAGCTATATCCCCAGTCCTGGAAAAGGATTTTTAAAAAAAATTACTGGAGAAATTTCTCACCAGTTAGTAATGCAAAGCAGAGAGTACCCCACGTGTCTGAAGAGTGACCTGAGCGGACACATGGGGTGGTCCCCTGTTGTGGGCAGAGAGTCCTACAGGTGTCCTACAGAGGCGGACTGCTGCTCAGGTGGACAGCAGCCACCAGAGCCCATCACTCTTTGTGCACAGAATCAGCTTAAGATGGCTCGCTTCACGATGGTGGATGGCAAGTCGGGGAAAGGCGTCAGCTTCAAGGACGTGGCCGGCATGCATGAGGCTAAGCTGGAGGTTCGGGAGTTTGTGGATTATTTGAAGGTGAGCAGGCAGCTGGCACCCTAGAATGAAGACTGGGCAACTGCATTCTGTGGAATGTGTGTGTACCAGTACCCATTGAACCAGCAGCACGCCGCAGAGCGTGGCTGTTGACAATGTGGGAGGGTTGTGATGGGGACTGTATGGTCAGCCATCTTGGATGCTTGATTGCCGTGCTTGGCCCAGACCCCTGGGAACCACAGCCAGTTGGTGGGGACAACAGTGCTCTGCGTTCATGAATATGGTGGTGAGTGTGATATTATCTGCTGCTGTCTAGAGTCCCGAGCGCTTCCTCCAGCTTGGAGCCAAGGTTCCGAAGGGCGCGCTGTTGCTCGGGCCTCCAGGATGTGGGAAGACGCTGTTGGCCAAGGCGGTGGCCACAGAGGCCCAGGTCCCCTTCCTGGCGATGGCTGGCCCAGAGTTTGTGGAGGTCATTGGAGGTAGGTGCGGATGAGTTAGTGGCCAGGATTGTCCGCTGCTTCCTGATCCTTCCTCATGCTGAATCGAAGGCAGGGTATAGACCAGGAAAGACAGACTGAATTAAATGCAGGGTGGCCTGGGGTATTACTTGCATTGATGCTGCTTTCTGTGTGGCCACTTCTGGTCTGTCTGTGGGGAGGCCTGCCTTGACTTGGGCATGCTTTGTGGAAGCTGCACCTGACTGCACGCAGAAGCAGGATTTGGCTTACTTTATCCATTTGTTCCCAATGCTGTATTCCCTTAGGCTTGGGTGCTGCCCGCGTGCGCAGCCTCTTCAAGGAAGCAAGAGCCCGGGCCCCATGCATAGTGTACATCGATGAGATTGATGCTGTGGGCAAGAAGCGCTCCACATCCATATCCGGTTTCTCCAACACAGAGGAGGAGCAAACCCTTAATCAGCTGCTGGTGGAGATGGATGGTCAGTGACTGCATGCTCCCCGCTGCCCCTGCACCTAGAAGAAGACCTCAGTCTTCTTGCATCACTGTCTACCCAGGCCGATGTCCTGGACACATGGAATCACATTGTAGGAGGCTTCATTTCTCTCTAGTGGAGGTGGTGGTGTTGCTGTGCCCTGTCTACTGAGGAGGGTGATCCGACACACCTCACACCTCACACTGCCCCTTGCCTTGGTGCCTACAAGAAACACAGCTCTTAGCCAGGTGTAGCGTACACAGTTGTAATCCCAGCCATGCCAGGAGACTGAGGCAGGAAGGTAAAAAGTTCAAGGCCAGCCTGGGCAACTTCCTGAGACCCTGTCTCAAAATCATCCTTGCAGTCTTTCTACTTCAGCCTCCTGAGTACTGAGATGACAGGTGCCTACCATCAAACCCACCTTTGCCCTCCCTTTTATGGCTGAGTATTCCCCATTGTGTGTGACGACGGTCTTGTTTTCAGCTTAGCTTAGTGGGGGTTTTTGTTTTTAACAATAGCAAAGTTTTATTAAAGGTGGGAACAGAAACAGTCTGCAGAATAAGTTCAGGCCGAGTAAAAGTAGCAAAGAAGTGTGCCCTGCAGCATGAGGGCAGGCCACCACTCAGGAGACAGCCCAGGCCTACATTTGTTTGTTTGTTTATTGTCTTTTCTTTTGTTTTGGTACCAGGGATTGAACTCACAGCCTTGTGCTTGCCAGGCAGGCACGTATGCAGCTGAGCTAAATCCCCAGCCCCTATTCATTGTCTTTTTGAGGCAGGGTTTCACTATGGAGTTCAGGCTGGCCTTGAAATCAGGGATCCTCCTGCCTCAATCTTCTGGGGTTACAGGTGTATGCCATTATGCCCATTTTATTTATCCACTCATCTGTCAGTAGACACTAGAACTATTGTGAATCATAATCTTATGTTCCTGTGAACATAGGAACGAATACTTGCCCTCAACCCAGCAAGATGGTACATACTTGGAATCCTAGCTACTCTTTTGTTGGCTCTTTTTGAGACAGCATGTCCCTATGTAGTTCAGTTTGGCCTTGAGTTCACTTCATAGCCCAGGCTGGTCTTGAACTTGTAAGGATCCTCCTGTCTCAGCTTCTTAGTGCTAGGATTACAGGTGTGAGCCACCATGCCCTCTCCCACATACTTTTGAAGTTGAGGCAGGAGGATCAAGAGTTTGAAGCCAGAGCCAGACATGGTGGTGCAGAGTGATATTGCTCCAGCAGCTGGCACTACCCATGTGTGTTAGCTGTGGGGTGGCTCTGAGGCATAACTCAACCCTTCACTTGTTTGCCTGTCATTTGATGCCTGGCTAAGTCCCTGCCTCTACTGTGGCTCTGTTGGGCAGCTTGGCACGTGTGGCATCTGTCGCAGCTGATGGCTTTCCTTTCCTGCCTGGGGAGGAAAGGCCTGGTTTGGGCTGCCCACACCTGCCCTCTCCTTTCCCTTGCTGTCCAGTCGTTGGTAGCACCTATGCTGCCCTTGGTGCATGCCTGACACAAGTGCACTTGGGGGGCAGGGTTGCAGAGAGCGTGGTGTCTTAGGTGATGGTAGAGAGGCTCAGGTTCTGAGACTCAAGGACAAGTGGGTGGTTAGGAGTCATAAATCTAGAAGGCAGTGTGCAGATAAGCACGTGGTGCACATCTGTGATTGTAGTTACTCGGGAGGCTGAGGCAAGATGATTAAAAATTTGAGTGCCTGAGCAATTTAGAAAACAACAACAGCAAAAAAACAAAACCTAAAGTTGTGGCTCCTACTTACCCAGCCTGTGCAAAGCCCACTGTGCGATCTTAACACTGCAAAAAAATAAAAGCTGCGATCCCAGCCCTGGGCCTCCTGGCCATGGCAGTCAGTGGAGACAGGCACACAGGGTTTCCTGTTGGTAGTGAGTTTCTGGGGCTTGCTCCAGGGTGGTCCTTCCACATGTGCCAGGTGCAGACTGAAAACCTCATGACACCGACCAGGCAGGTATGGACATAGTCTGCAAGGCCTTAGGTGCCTAGCTGGCTGTGCACACACCGTGCTCAGTGGTGCTGAAGGTGGGGTGACTTTCACCCCTGTCCTAGGCCTGCGGGCTGGGGGATGCTGTGGCCTTGCACAGGCCCCTGTCTGCAGGAGACTGGGCCACGTTCCTCTCCCTGCACAGTGACCAGGTACCCTTGTCGGGGGCAATAGGGAAATCAAGTGACACCTTCCACCATGGCACACCTGCACACATAGGTCATGCTGCTCTTCCTCCTGCATCTGAGGACAGAACTCCTCTTTGTCAGCAGACTGGGGCCCTGGGGCACACCCATCAGAGCTGATGTTCTCAGAGCCTGTCCTCTCTGTGCTGCGGGAAAGTCTTGCTTCGGCCCAGGATCAGCTGTCATCTGGACTCAGTGGCACAGGGCCCTGGGAGCCCATACAGCTGCGTGTCCTGACCGTACAGATGCTCTGAGGCAGCATTTATTTTCTGCTCATTGATGTGCAGAGGATGGTGCTGAGCAGATGCTGGGCTGGGCCCACAAGGAGCCCAGCACAGGTGGAGCAGCTGTGCAGCCCTCGCACCTGCACGTTAGGGCTTGGGCCTAGCCCACTTGCCTAGTGCTGCACACTCACCTCCTTAGCAGCTGGCTGGTGATGGATGTCCTGTGCAGCAAGCACCCTGTGCTGTGAGGCAGAGGTTGGGGACTCTTGAGAAAATTCTCAGGGCTTGATGAGCACTCACCTAGCACCTTCAAGGCCCTGGGTTTGAGTTCCCCCATCATGAAACAAAGGAAGAAAGTAAACTTTGCCAGCTGGATGTGGCCACCCCAAGTGGTGTAGGCTGTGTGGTGTGACGAGGGGGCCAGCATAGCAGAGGGCAGCCCAGGGGCAGCTGTGCGTGTCACACCCCAAGAGCAAGTCACGCTGGCCTCAGATGTGCCTGGGGGCCCCTGCACTCATCAGGTTAGTGTGTTGAACAGCAGTGCTACACTCAGGTGGGCAACCATCTGAGCCTCGCAAGGAGTGACCCGATGCTACATGCCAGGGTCCTGCTCATAAGAGGGCTCTGTTTGGTTTGGGTAATCCAGGTTGGCCTTCTGGTCAGTGTGTAGCCTAGACTGCCCTTATACCTGTGATCCTCTTGCCTCAGCCTCTCAAGTGCTGGGATTATAGATGTGTATCCAGCTTTTGGTAAAATCTTGATAAAAGTGAGTTAGAAAACATGGGTGAAGTTGAGGCCTGAGTCAGAGCAGCCATCCTGCCCCACCTTGGAGCAGTGAGGCTGGGATACTGGGAGAGAGGATGGGTCTAGGCCCTGCAGAGGAACCTCGGCAGCATGCCACCCTGCCCTGCTGCATACCAGCCACAGCAGGCACAGTGGGGCAGCTGCCTTGCTCTCTGTGGCTTAGCTTAGTCACAGAGCCTCAGCCCAGGACCAAGGAGGAGCTGGCATTTCATTCTGAACTGCAGCTTCAGCCAGCCTGCTGGCACGTCCGCAGTAGGGACAAGACCCTGGCCATTGTCCACAGAGTTGTCGGCTGTCCCCTGGACCAAGGTGAGGATCTCTGTCTGAGGAGCCAGCTACTCAAGCCATGGTGCCCAGGTCCTTGTCTGGATGGGACACTCTGAGGAGAAAGGCCATAGTGAGTGCATGGTCTCCAGAGGACTCAAGTGCTGTCCTGGCTGCAGCAACTGAAGGATGGGGTGGCACCTGAGTGTTGGGTGTCTGGTGGGGGAGCCAAGGAGGGAACTGCTCTGGGCCTGCCCTTCCTCCTCTTCAAGGTGCTCTCACAGGGCGGAAGTGTTTGTTCCTGAGGTGCAGGGGATAAGTTTTTGATTTTATGGATCTTGCATTTATTGTGAGGTCTAAGATCTCATTGCTGTTCCTAGATCCTAAATATTTTCTCATGGGTTGTCTTTGAGTTTGTGGGGTTTTATTGTTGTTTTGTTGTTTATTTGTTTGCAGTGCAGCAAATTAAATCTAGGGTTTCACATATACTTGTCACACAGTTTCTGTTTGGTTTTGCTCTGCTTGTTTATCTGAGATGGGTCATGCTGTGTAGGTCGGGCTGGTTTTGAATTCAAAATGCAGCTCATCCTGGCCTAAATTCATTGGAGTTCTCTTGCCTTAGCCTCCCAAATGCTGAGAATAGAGGTGTGCATCACCATGCCTGGCCATGACACTTTTAGAATGTGTTTCTCTCTTTCTGAATTTGATAGCAACACATACCAGGGGCAGCTAGGCAGAACTCAGACAGTTCTGCTGGATGCAGAGAAACTGGACTCCTGTGTGTAGTCTCCCTGACTGGCCTGGTGCCCCCCTCACCCTGGAACACAGAGCAGTCACACCAGCTTCCTGGACCACGGTGTCATTTACCTGGAGTAGCTAAATCCTCAGGTAGCACCAGTGTCTCTCATTGGGTGAATAATTAAACTCTAGTGTTTCCTTATTGTGTGCAATTCAGCAATAAAAATAAAGTTCCAGAGGGACATGGACTACATGCCTGTAATACTAGCTAGCACACAGGAGGCTGAGCCAGGAAGATTATGTGTTCAAGGGCAGCCAGGACTACCTATCAAGACCGTATCTAAAAAATAAAAGAAAGGACCAGGGATTTAGCTCAGTGGCGTAAGTGCCTGCCTGGTCATGAGTTGGATCTCCCAGTACCGGGAAAAAAAAAAAAAATTCTGGGTGTAGTGATGCACTCCTGTAATCCTAGCACTCAGGAGGCTGAGGCAGGAGGATCCTTGCAACTTTGGGACCAGCCTGGGCTACAAAATGAGCTTAAGGCCAGCCTGAACTGCATGCAAGACCCTGTCTCAAAAAGACAAGAAAAAATAAATAAATACAATGAAAAACAAGGAGCTTCCTATCTGCCTCAGCTCAGTGTGGGAATTACGTTGAATGAAGAGCCCATCCCACAAGTCATATAGCACAGGCTTCCAATTCAATGATGTCATCTGAATGACAAAGCTACACCTGTAATCCTAGCACTTTGGAGGTTGAGGCAAGAGAATTGTTGAGAGTTGGAGACCAGCTTGAGTTTCAAAGTGAGCTCAAGGCCAGCCTGAACTAAATAGAGGGACCTCGTCTCAAAAAGACCAAAAAAAAAAAAAACAAAAAACAAAAAAAGAATGACAGAGCGGGAGACAGAGCAGGTTAGTCCCATGAGAGCTTAGCAGAGGCCTGGCAGAGGAGCTGAGGTCATTATAATGGACTGGTTTTTTTTTTTTTTTTTTTTTTTCCTTTGGTATTTTTGAGACAGGGTCTCTGTGCAGTTCAGGCTGGCCTTGAGCTCACTTTGTAGCCCAAGCTGGTCTGGAGTTCATAACAATCCTCCTGCTTCAGCCTCCTGAGTGCTGGGATTGCAGGTGTATACCACCACACCTGGCTGTAATAGGCATTTTCTTGTTGTTCTTTTTTGAGACAGGGTCTCTGTGTGTGGCCCAGGCTAGCCTTGAACTCAAGATGATTCTCCTGCCTCCTGAGCCCTAGGACCTCAGGCATTTACCACCATACCTGGCCAGTGAGTTTCTAAACCCACTTGTTTTTGGTGATATTTTGAGATGACAGCCCTCACCATGTTGCCCAGCTGGCCTTGAACTCAATTCTCTTGTCTCAGCCTTCCGAGTAGCTGGCATTAAAGGCATGTGTCATCATGCTGAGCTTTCTGAACTCACAGGTAGCTTCTTGGCCAAGAAGCTGAGCTTAGAATTCAGGCTAGAGGCAGTGGTCAGCGAAGGGTCCCTGTCCCTCTACCAGGTGGAGGGAATCAATCTCACATCCTGAAGGCCCCTGTGCCTGTCCATCCCCAGGAATGGGCACTACAGACCACGTCATCGTCCTGGCATCCACAAACCGAGCTGACATCCTAGACAGTGCTCTGATGAGGCCTGGCCGACTCGACCGGCATGTGTTCATCGATCTTCCCACGCTGCAGGTTAGGACTGGGAGCTGGGTAGCAGCTGGGGCTGTGGGCTTGGCGCCCATGCTTCCAGAGCACACTTCCCCTTGCTTGGTTGGCAGCCACTTGCACTCACACCGTTGCTGTCCTCACCCTTCTGGTTGGGGTTGGTGGTCCAGTCTGGGTCTATTTGGAACCAAATCTGGGGGTGAGGGATCCACCTGCACATTCCTGTATGTCCCATCTAAACTCTGTGGGGAGCCTTGCTGTGGTGCTCTGGCCTGTTGTAAGAACTTGGCTTCAGCCCATGTGATGGTGCATACCTGTAATACCTTGGGAGGCTAAGGCAAGAAGAATGCAAATTTGAGGGCCAAGTAGAAAATTTAGCAAGACCTTATCTTAAAATTTTAAAACTTTAGAGCCAGGCGTGATGGTGCACACCTGTAATCCCAACACTCAGGGTTGAGGTAGGAGGATTGCCATGAGTTCAAGGCCAACCTCGACTATAGATCTTGTCTCAAAAAAAGAATTTTTTTTTTCTTAATCTTTAAGCTAGACATAGTGATGCATGCCTATAATTTTAGCACTCGAGAGTGAGGCAAGAATCGCTGTAAGTCTGAGACCAGCCTGGAATAGTGAGGCCCTGTCTCAAAAAAATACATCCATTAATTTTAAATAAGGGCTAGAGTGTAGCTCAGTGGCAGCACGTTTGTGTGTACTAAACCCTGGGTTCTGTCCCCAGTGCCACAAACAAACAGGAGATCTTGATTTGCTCCTCGAGCAGGTGGAGGGGCTCTTAGCACCTCCTGTCTGCTGGCTTCTGGTTGTACTGGTTCCCCGTGATCTGGGCAGAAGTCTTCACTGTGGCCTGCAGAGGCGGGAGCCCTGGGGCAGGAGTGAGGCTGGGCTTGGTCAGTCAGTTCTGTCACTCAGTATAGGTGTGAGCTGTGGGCTCCGCCACAGCTGCCCGTCTCGGATGGGGAACGCCAGATACAAGGAGAGAACAGGCATGTCCAGCCCGTGGCCTGGGAGCCGCTGGTGACTCTGGACCAAGTGTGACTGTGGCCTGTGGGAGTTTGGGCACAGCTTGTCCTGACTCGGTTGCAGGGTGATCAGCACAGACTGTGGAGGACAGCAGAACCCTGTGGGGCAGGCATGGTCCAGGCCATGGGAGTGGATGTGATGCTGCCCACATGTGGGTGACGTGGAGCATGAAACCCAGTGACTCTGATAACATTTGTATTTCCACCCTCCACCCTGTGCATCTGTTTGTGGTGACCAAGCTGGCATATTTTGTCTTGTCATTTTTGGAGGGGAACTGGGTCGTTATGTCATCCAGGCTGGTCCTGAACTCGTGGCAGTTTCTGTCGCAGCCTTCTGAGTGCTAAGGTTATGATGGCTTTCATTTTTTAAACTTGGGCTCCTGTTATTTCATTTTAACATTAAGAAAAATTTTGGGGGGCTGGAGATTTAGCTCAGCGGCATAAGCGCCTGCCTTGTAAGCAAGCAGTCGTGAGTTCGATCCCTGGTACCGATAAAAAGGAAAAAGACAAAAAAAAAAAAAAAAAGAAAAATTTTTTTAGGTTTTTTTTGAGGGGTGGTTTTGAGACAGAGTGTTGCTATATAGTTCAGCCTGGCTTTGAACGCACTGTCACCTAGGATGACTCTGAACTTGCAGCGATCCTCCTGCTTCAAGTGCGAGTGCTAGGATTACAGGTGTGTACCACCATGCCAGGCTATAAAAATGTTTTTGGAAAGGAAATGCTGCCAGGCATGGTGGCACACTCCTGTAATTCCAGCACTCAGAAGGCTAAAGGAGGAGGACCATTGCAAATTTGAGACCAGCCTGGGCTACAAAGTGAGCTCAAGGCCAGCCTGAACTGCATAGCGAGATCCTATCTCAAAACAACAACAAAAAAAAACCCCAAAAAACAAAAAAAGGAAATGCTAAACTATGCATGGTGGCACATGTCTATAACCCCAGCACTCAGGATGCTAAGGCACAATTGCTTTGAGTTCAAAGCCAACATGAACTAAACATTGAGATACAAGTCTTTAAAAAGGAAATTGTAGCCAGACGTGTGCCGCATGCCTGTCATTCCAACTCCTTTGGAGGCTGAGGCAGAGTAAGTAAAAGTTTGAGGCCAGCCTGGATGGCTTAGCTTGACCTTGTCCCAACATTTTAAAAAAGAGGCTGAGGGGCTGGGGATTTAGCTCAGCAGCATAAGTGCCTGCCTTGCAAGCAGGCAGTCGTGAGTTTGATCCCCGGTACTGATAAAAAGGAAAAAGACAAAAAAAAAAAAAAAAAAAAAAAAAGAGGCTGGAGGGCCTGGGATGTAGCTCAGTGGCATAAGTGCCTACCTGGCACTTATGAGGCCCTGAGTTTGATTCTAGGTACCAAAAAAAAGGATCAACAGTATTAAAAAAAGAGGCTGGAGATGTAGCTTAGCAGAGAGCTCCTGGGTTCAATCCTGGCAATTGCAAGAAGAAAAGTGAAGTTTTATTATACATATGAACTCTGTTACGTGTTTGAGATGCAGCCTCAGACACCTCCTCTTCCCTTAAGCATTTCCCAAGCAAGCCAAAAGGTGGGATGCCCATGACAGAGCATCCAGGATGTGTGGGAAGCAAGAGTTTTGCAGAATGAACACTTGCACTATGTGCTGTGTTTCATCTTGGAGTCTATTTCTCTTCCCTTTAAAACACAGCTTGCAGGTCACTAATTGCTCTCCCAGACCATGGGTCATGACTAGGCCGGCTGGCCGTAGTGCCAGTGGCCCCAGGGGTACCCAGCACTGCTCACGGCCATGCCTGCAACCCTGTCTCCCACTGTGCAGGAGAGGCGGGAGATTTTCGAGCAGCACCTGAAGGGCCTGAAGCTGACCCAGGACAGCACCTTTTACTCACAGCGACTAGCAGAGCTGACGCCAGGATTCAGTGGTACGTTCTTGGTCTGCTCTCTCTGCAGTGTGCTTGTGGGCACCAGACTCCTTGTGGGAGCCCCTGACTGTCACTCGGAGCCTGGGGCCTGGGGGTGAGACTGCAGAGCAGACAGTCTTCAACCCCACGGCAGTGGTGTGGCCACACTGACTCCGTAGTTGGCTGCCACGGCATCTTCGTCTCCAGCTGTGTCCCTTGTGGTGATCCCTGTGTTTCCACCTTCGGGCCACTCTTGTGCCTGTCACATGGATGTCACTTAGGGACTTGCAGTCCAGAGGTTTGCCCAGGACAAGGCTGAGACAGGAAGGTCACAAGTTCAAACTGAGCCTGGGTAACTTAGTGGCTTAGCAAAATTCCACCTCAAAAAATAAATAAAGGGGGCTGGGGACGTAGCTCAGCATGAAGGACCTGGGTTCTGTCACATCTCACACCAAAAACTTATGTAAATAAAAATCCCTCTTACTCTGCTGTGTCTTCCCTTTGATTGTCAATTAGTCTGTAAGCCCTTGGGTCTCATCCACCAGTGCCCTGTGAAATGGGAATGAAGCATAGGCCTGCGCTGGTGACAGTGACGTCTCGAGTGCAGAAGAAGAGACCATTCCTCAGGCAGCTACTTCCCTGCTGTGGCTTAGTTCTGACCCCCATCTGTCCCCACCCCTGCGTCCCTCTTGTCCACAGCACCTACTGTCCATGTGTCGGCCTCTCCAACCCTCTGGCCTGTCACCTGCCTAAGGCTTTGTGTTGCAGGCGCTGACATTGCCAATATCTGTAATGAGGCTGCTTTGCACGCCGCCCGGGAGGGGCACTCGTCGGTGCACACACAGGACTTTGAGTATGCCGTGGAGCGGGTCGTGGCAGGTAGGACTGGTACTGCGCTCTGTTCCAGAGGTCTGCATCTCCCTCAGAATTGGCCCAGCAATATCAGCTGGAGCCAGCTATACAAAGCTAAAATTAGATAGGGTGGGTAGCATAGTCCAGGCTCCAAGGTTGCCTTTTAAATAGCAAAAATGAACGCTTTTTCTCAGGGTGGGATGCTGCAGCCTCCCTAGCATAGATATGCTTCAAACAGATGCAAAAGGGCCTGCAGCCCAGATGGGAGTTGCCTCCACTGCCAGGAGGCCAGGGCACCTTTATTTTGGGGTAGGTCAAAGCTGCCACCACCAGGGACTCTGTCCCTGCTCACTCCTCATCCCAGTGCTTGGGCAGTGGGTGAGGCTTCTTCCAACAGGGTCCACCGATACTCAAGCGCAGGAGTGAACCTGAGGCCCTCCCAAAGCCTCTGCAGCCCTGCATGAGATGGATGGACATTGAAAAGAGAGCCCTCCTTCCCACAGTTAGAGAAGGCCAGAATCTCCCCTGACAGCCCTATAGGCTGTCCCTGCAGGAGACATGTCCAAAGGGGCATGTGACACCCAGGTTCCCAGAGCAGGAACGGGCTATCCTGCCTACAGCAGAACGCACTCCTTTAGAGCGCTGGGAATATAGCTTAGTGGCACAGTGCTTGCCTGGCATGCACAAGGTCCAGAGTTTGATTTCCTGGTACAAAAACAAAAAACCCACTCCTTCCTGCAGCCAGCTCATTCTGTGGGAGCCATGATTTATAGTCACAGCATCAAGGTAGAAGAGACTGAGTGGGATGGCAGGTGCCAGTGCAATCTCAATGTCCCCAGGGGGAAGGACGATGGGAGGGTGGGAAATAAAGAAAAGAGATGAAAGCTGAGGTCAGGTGGAGCCTCTGGCCTGGTGAGAAAGGAGGAACTGCTCAGCCACTGAAGGACACTGAGGAGGGTGATAGCAGTTTCAGCCCCTCTGCCTAGGAGCTTGTTTGCCTAGCTGGCTTGGGCCCTTGCCTCTTGGAGCTGGACCAGCTTTATGTAGCTTACTCTGGGCTCTTGGTGTTCTCAGGGATGGCCTTCTTTAGTCTCAGTACATGTGGTCAATCTCGAGCTTCACCTGTTCCCTACAGCACCTTAGGGTGTATAGGACTTAGGGTTTTATAGGACTGCTGGGCGTGATGGTGCATGCTGTACTCCAGCTCTTGGGGTGCTGAGGCATTGAGTTCAAGGCCACCCTGGCCTACATAGTGAATTTGAGCCCAGCCTGGCACACAGTGAGATCTTGTCTTAAAAAATCAGTGACACTAACAGAACCTTGTCTCCCATGTGCAAGGTGGAAGAGGTGGAGGAGGTAATGGGGAGTCCCCACCTGTACCTACCACTGGTGCCCAGCTGGCTCAGCTCTGTTCAGGTTCAGCCCGTCTCAGAGGCCTGTGGTCCCACACTGCAGTGACTCCTGTCCCACTGCTGTGTCTTCCATGGATTTAGTCACATACACTGCCCTGAGTGCTATGCGCCTCAGCCTATTCAGGGTGGAACTCAAATACGTTTGGGGAATTTGGGTCCAGTGCAGCCACACAGTAGTTTGAGCACAGGAATAACCAGAGTCATGCCAGTTGAGGCACAAGCTGGTCAGTCTAGGAGCTGCTGCTGTAGTCTAGGTGCAGAAGGTGTAGAGTAGGTGTGCAGTAGGTGGACTCAGTGGAGTCAGTGATCACATAAGAGACAGCAAGCCTCTGCCCCACAGGCATTCTAGACAGAAGGGCTTGCTACAAGGGTGGCGGTTCTGTGCCTCCATTTGCAGGAGGAAAAGATCTGTCCTTGTTGTTTTACCTTCTCGCATCAGCCCCTGGAGTTGGGGCACCAGGAGTGATGGTTGGTACAAGAGGCCCTGATTCAGCAGAGCTGTCGAAGTGCTGGGCACAGAGGGCGTGGAGCAGGCAAAGCGAGGAAGGTCTCACTGAGCTCTGCCTTTTTCAGGGACGGCCAAAAAGAGCAAGGTCCTCTCCAGGGAGGAGCAAAAGGTGGTGGCCTTTCATGAGTCTGGCCACGCCCTGGTGGGCTGGCTGCTGGAGCACACGGAAGCCGTGATGAAGGTAGGTGGAAGAACTCGTGCCTCACCTCTAAGCTGCTGCTGCAGTGACTGGTATGGTCGCTGTCTTCACCTACCATCAGCCCGCCACCCTGAAGTTAGTGCACTGCTGTGGGCTGAGTGCACACCTTGGAGACCCTGCTCCCACAGGCAGCTCTGAGTGCTGGAGCTGTCCGCAGCTTCCAGAAAGCCTGTGGACCTGGATGCAGATCTGTAGATCCTTCCTCCAGGAAGCTATGGCAGTGGCAATGTGGCCCGCCTGCTCCCCCAGGGACCTGGTATGGATTAAGGTTAGGATCAGTGCTCTTGTATAGCCTGAGAAGACCATCTGGCCCCACCTCTTGTGCCAACAGAAATATGACCTGGCAGCCATGGTCTCTCAGCCGCCTCCTTCAAACACTCCGTGCTCTGAGCATTCCCTTTGCCCAGGTCCAGATGGGAATTTGGGGACAGTGGTCTTGCAAGCCCTGGGGTACCCAGCAGTCAGGGTGATTGCATGGATCCCATGTCGAACCTGAATGGCTCAAAAAATTCCAAATTAACTCAGAAAAACCCATGATGAGTAAAGCTTCAGAATTTGAATTTTCCTTCATTCTCAGATTTATTTAAGGGCTCAAAGTCAGGTGACCTAGTGCTGTCCTTTGAGGAAGGGCTGTCAGTTTACTGTCACTGAGCTGGTTGTTTTTGTGATCAGGCATAATTCAAGAGAACCCTGTTTCATCGTGTCACTTGGCTCTGAAGGTTTTTCCAGTGTTAGGCATGAAGCCCAGAGCTTCGTGCGTGGGAGGCAGGCACTCTGCCTGAGGTGGTGTCTTTAGGCTGTCTTGGAGTGTCAGGGTCTGGCCTGGTCATCTGCTGTTGTTCCCTGGGCTAGCACAGCAAGGGCACACACCCACACCCTGCCCATGGGTGGGGTCCAGGTTCTGGTCCTGCTTGAACATGAGCTGCGCAGCGTCCTCTGCTCCAGGCTCTGGGTTCTGAAGGGAGAGGCCACAGGACAAGATGGGGAGAGGTCTCCTGTCCTCCTGTGTGTCTTGGGGTTTCCTGTAGGTGATTACACTGTGAGGGTCAGTGCAGACTGCACCAGGGCATGTTTTGGCCAGCACCTCTGTGTGTGACGACATGTGGGACACCTGTCAGGTACTTTTGTGCCCTGAGTTAGTAGCCTTTGGTGTTAGGGTTCTCTTCTGTTCTCAAAATGGGGCGATATCAATAGACAAAATGAGAAGAAATGAGGCAGTACACTCTGCTTGTGTTGAGACCTCTGGTGACAGGTCTGTCTGCACAAGAGCAGGACGGGTCCTCCTGCCAATGCAGCCACCCTGCCCTCTGCAGGTCTCCATTGCTCCTCGCACGAATGCCGCACTGGGCTTCTCGCAGATGCTGCCCCGAGACCAGCGCCTCTTCACCACCGAAGAGCTGTTCGAGCGCATGTGCATGGCCCTGGGTGGCCGTGCAGCCGAGGCCATCTCTTTCAGCCGGGTCACTTCTGGTGAGGTCCAGCCCGAAGGCCCCCACCCTCATTTATGACAGGTGGATTGATGATTGACGTTCACAGTGTAGTTCACACCTACGCAGACTACAGACACATTAGTTGGTTAATTTTCAGTCATGACTGCACAGAACTAGATGAAACTGTAGTAGCTGATCCCTAGCTGGCTGTTTGCTGGTCTATCCAGAGGGGTCATGAGGCTCTGCTCATCCTAGAGGCCTCAGGCTCAAGGTTGGCGGGTATCTTGTTCAGACTCGATCTCAGTTCGGAAACTGCTGAGCAGCCCAGGCTGGCCCCGAGCAGTTGATTACAAAGCCAGGCATGTCTGCCAGGCTGACTGCTGCTTAGAGAACCGAGGCAGATGTCCTGGTCTCGGGGATTCCATGTGGGGAGCTGCGGACCTGACACCCTGGGGCTGTGCTGGCTGGCTCCTGAGGGTGCCTTCCTTCCTCTACCGCATGCTGCAGGGGCCCAGGATGACCTGAGGAAGGTCACACACATCGCCTACTCCATGGTGAAGCAGTTTGGGATGGCTCCTGCCGTCGGGCCTGTCTCTTTCCCCGAGGCCCAGGAGGGCCCTGTGGGCATCGGGCGGCGCCCCTTCAGTCAAGGTCTCCAGCAGATGATGGACCATGTAAGTTACCTGGCGCTGCCTGCCTGCCCTCGGGTGTTGTCCTCCCTGGTTCTGCTGTAGCTGTCACCTCGGTGGCTCCAAATCAAGTAGGACGGTTGTCAGATAAACACACCAGTGGCAGAGCCAGCACCCACAGTTCCAGCCTACTCTGGGACAACGCTGGGCAGGGGCTACTGCTTGAGGTGAGGGAGGGCGCATTCTGGGCCTGCCTCGTCCTTCCTGCGCATGGCGTTGATCTGGCTGTCAGCTGCCTCTTTGACTTCACAGGAGGCAAAGCTGCTGGTGGCCAAGGCCTACAGGCACACGGAGAAGGTGCTTCTGGGCAACCTGGACAAGCTACAGATGGTGAGTAGCACAGGGGCATGGGACAGGGCCAGCTTTGCAGGGTGCCCAAGGCGTTGTCCAGCCCCTTCCAGGAAGAGCATATGACCAGGGCTGGTAGTTACAACCTGCTGTCAGCTCTATCTAGTCTTCAAAAAAAACCTTAATTTTTTTTTTTGAGACAGTGTCTCACTATGTATTTCAAGCTGGCTTTGAACCCATTGTTTAGCCCAGGCTGATCACAAATTCTTGCCAATCCTCCTGCCTCAGCCTCCTGAGTGCTGGGATTAAGGGCATGTATCACCATGCCAAACTCCAAAAAGCTTTTTAAATTTTATTAGGTTTGAGTTTATAGAAAAGTTGCCAGCCTGGAGCAGAGTGCTCTTACACCCACATCCTACTCCCTTTTGTCGGACACTTTGCACAGCCCTTTACCAACATGGACATGGCATTGTTCACTGAGGCCCACACTGGGTTCCTGTATCCTCAGCTTTTCCAGTCCCAGTGTCCCTTTTGGCCAGGATCCTGAGTATGGGGTTGTCACACGTCCTTGGGCTTCTCTTATTGTGAGTTTCCCAGGCTTACTCTGTCCTGAAGGCCTCGGTTGCCCCAAGGAAACAGTAAGGACAATGGGTCTGAGAGGTCAATGGAGGTGTGTTCCTCCGTGTGCCTGCTCTGTGACCTGCCACCCAGAGTGCAGGGAAGGTGACAGCTCATGGTGCCACAGAAGAAAAACAGGCAGGGGAGTAGCTTTCTGTTGCTCCTCTAAAGCTCCTCGGCCAGTTGATGTCACCTGTACACCTGCATGCTAGAGGGCATACTGCCTAGGAACCAGGGCACGCAGTGGGAATGCAATGAGTGGGGCAAGGCTGAAGCTAGGGTGCCCAGGTTCCAGCCCTACAGTGTCCCGTGCAGTGTGATCACAGGGGCACCATGTGGGTCAGGGTACCATTGTTTCAAAAATGTAGAAAGTGGCCAGGGTGTTGCTCAGTAGAGAATGGCAGGCATTCATAAGGTTGTGGGCTGCAACAGAAGAAAGAGAACATGGGAGTCTTACCCTAGCCAGCAAGAAGCCAGCAAGCCAGGCCTGTGGGCCGGGCCTTGAGCTGCACTTGGGTTCTTCCCAGCCCCTTCTTGGAGGCCCTGCTGTCGCCCAGGCAGGCAGCTTGCAGCCCCTCCCCTCTCCACAGACTCACTGCCTTGTTTGCTGAAGGAAATTGCAGCTGCCAGAAATAAGCAGAGATTTTGGAAGGAAGTAGAGAAGTCAGTGAGACTGGCAGCTGGAAGACCATTTCCAGGGTGAGACAGGGAGTGATTCTTCTTTGCCTGAGCTGCCTTTGCCTCTGCTTCCCTGGGAAAGCAGCCCGTCGGAGGTGTCCTGCTCACAGACAGCCCCACACGTCTCACGGGACAGAGACCCTCTGTTGAGTGAGCCCCCATCTCGGATGCTGTACTCTCAAAGGCTCTTGTCTTGTCTTTGTTGCAAAGATTCACACACTGCCCTGTTTGTTCTTTCCAGCTGGCGAATGCCCTCCTGGAAAAGGAAGTGATAAACTATGAGGACATTGAGGCCCTCATTGGCCCGCCGCCCCATGGGCCCAAAAAGATGATAGCACCACAGAAGTGGATTGATGCCCAAAGGGAGAACCAAGTGACTGGGGAGGAAGAGGCCGCCCCACCGCCCCCTCCCCGTGGCGAGGAGCCTTCCTGGCCGGGGTAGCTGGGACTGGATGGTCCAGAACTGCTGCTGCCCGAACTGCCTCTCGCCCGCACTTGTCTGTATCTTCTCGGCAAGCCCTGGTGTTCTGCTGAAGGGCTACCGAGACCTATTTATTGATGTCCGACCTGTGACTAGTAAACATCTGGTCAGCTGTGCATTTGTGCATACTTTCCCTAGGGGAGATCTGCATCTGCCAGGAGTGGGGACTTTTGTGTTCTCAGGCCCATCTGTGTGCAGTCTCTGTGTGCGGCCATGTGACCCACAGGTGGCTCTCTCCGAATGCTAACAGGACTCTATGAAAGGCCTCTCTCAGAGGTGGCCTCTCTGGTAGAGGGAGTTAGAGCTGGGATCTGGCAGACAACGCCACCTGCTGCTGTGTGACTGGAATGAGAGCCCTTCCAGGTGCTCTGGTGCCATTTGGGAACCAGCTTGATAATAATAATGCACAAACGCGATCCCTCACTAACGAATTATGTGCATGAAGATTCTGCATTTATACTGCACAGCTCACTGGGGCGGTGGCTCATGCTGGGTGTCTCCATGTTCCACTTAGAGCCATTCAGTCATGAGACAGCCTGCCAGGCATAGTGGTCCATGCCTGTGGTCTCAGCTGCTGGGGAGACTGAGGATAGCAAGTTCCACACCAGCTGGACTCTCATTTAAAAAAAAAAAAAAAAAAAAAAGGCACACCATTTCTGTAGAAATCTGGACCCCACACCATGCAGGGATACAGTGGGTGCCGGGTCTGGGCTGATGCACATCCCTGCCTTGGGGCCTCTGCCTGCGTGGTGCTCTGCGGAGCCATGGCTTGCAATTACTTGTGATGGACTAGATGACTTCTGCCCCCTTACAGGCCTCCGAGGAAGACTGCGAGGCTGCAGGAGGGCAAATGAGGATCCTGGGGTTTGGTGGAGTACACTTTGACCTGGTCCAAGTCAGCACCCTCTTAGGAGTTTGTTGGGTGGCATCTGACATGGACATGGCACTAGGTGCATTTCCCATTGAGGTGGCCCATGTCTCCTTATCCTTGGGAATTATTTGCTGAGTAACAGGCAACTCAGCAGCTTAAGGACCATGTACATAAAGTACAGGGACTAGGACACTGGGAGTAGACTAAGTGGGCATCACCCTAACTGGTGGAAGTGAGTAGCCCAGATGTTGGCTGTTACCATCCTTAGGGATTGGCTGCAACTGTCATGCTCAGAGAGACACTGGGATTGTGCCAACTGCCAGTCGCCTGCTGCAGCACCAAAAGTCTAGGCTAGGTCCTTACCTCCTTGGCCGTGACCAGTGGAGTGGGCACAGCTTGGTACTGTAGTACGTCATAATTTCCCTGCTCTGGCCGGGCGTGCAGCTTCTTGTGGAGACAAGCACATGCTCTTCCAGTCCTGGAGGTAGGACCCAGGGCCTGTAAGCAGCTGTGTGCTCAGTTCTTTGTTACAGTTATTTTTTTAAACAGGTTTTGCTGAGTCACTGTGTTGCCCAGGCTGGTGCAGTCCTCATGCCTCAGCCTTGGAGCAGCAGGGTTAGCGGTGTGCACCACCACTCCAGCCACACACTCTTCATGTGGGCATGTGGGACCACACAATCCCAGAAAAAAAAAAGCATTAAGTTCCAGCATTTTGTACCCTGCTTTCCCGCACTCTGCTCTATGCTCAAACATTTCTTTTCTTGTTTTTTTTGAGCAGGGTTTCATTATGTAGCCCAGGCTGGCCTGGAGCTTGCAGCAATTCTCCTGCCTCAGCAGGCGTGCGCTGCCCACCCAGCTGTGTAAACATTTCTGACTCAGGCATGCTATTTTCCGTGCCATCAGCACTGATCACATTGCAGGCTGAGGTGTGTGCAAGCCATGTCTCTGGAAGCTGAGAGGCTGGAGAATGAGCTGCTCTGTGATACTGTCCAGTTCCTGACTGCTAGGTGGCTGTTAACTATGTGCCTGTATTGAGATGATAGCTGCAGTCAGTATGCTAGCCTGTGCATCAGTGTTTATTGCACACAAAATGCTATAGGCAGCCAGGCATAGTGGCACATGCCTGTTATCCCAGCGCTCTGGGAGGCTGAGGCTGGAGGATTGCAGCTGGGTGTCCACCATGGGGTTTGTTCCAGCCACAGCTCTGCTGGATAAAGTGACAGGTAAAGGGGAGGACAGTAGGTCTTTCAGCATGTTCTCTCGCACTCCCCCAGCCCTAACCCTAACTTGACCATGCTGGTTCCTGCCATGTGCCTGGAAGCAGAGCCATGCAGTCCTGTACAGCATTGCAGTCCATTTTCGCAAGCAGCAGCTCCTGTTTTACAAACCTGAACGGTTCCAATAACGCCCAGTCTCGGAACCAGGGCAGTAAAGAGAACCCAGGGAAGCTGCACACCTGACACTGCTACTGACCGGTGGGCTGCAGATCTGTGAGAAAAACACAGATGTCAGTGCTGTTAAGTGTTGCTTCTCAGGTAGGTACTATTCACAGCATTACTGAGCAGTGCTCTCCCTTATAGCCTGTTATCTGCAAACAACTGTCCAGCATAGGAGGCTGCTATTGCCCTTGCTTCATAACTGAACTGCTAGAAGGCAGAACTGGAACCTGGACTTCAGGGAGGCTTGGCACATTGGTGTGAACAGACCGAGTAATGGGCCCTTCGCACGTGGCCTGGCTTCCTATCATAATGGCTTCTCTGTGTAGGCCAGCTTGATTTTTCTAACTACCAAGGATGTCCCAATGTGGCAAAGTATCAGCAACCTCTATCCAGTGCAGCACACAGGCCTCCACATATTTTGTGTGTCATGAAGACTTTAAACTACAGATTTGCACTAGGACAAATCTGATTAAGATGTAGTCAAGAAAAAAGATGGTTATTGTAAAGGTTTGCAGATAGCAGTATAGTACTGGTGATTTCAGACTTGCCCTGAACACGAAGTGAACCGGCAACGACATGGAGTGTCTGGCTGCTTTGGTTTCTGTTACAGGTAGTGTGATGTCTGCAATTTGTCACTTAGGACCTCAGATAAGTGACTACATTGGCCAAGGCCAACCGTATGGATTTGGTGATTGTGTGAATTAAATAAAAATGCATTTAAAAGTACTGGATGCCAGGCTTGTAGAAAGTACACAGTAGCTTGGTATGGTGGCCCACACCTGGAATCCCAGCACTCGGGAGGCTAGAAAATCACCAGACGTTCAAGGCCAGCCTGGGCTATGTAGTTGTCCTGTGTACTTTTCTTTCATTGTTGGAGCAAAATACCAGACACTCAAAATGAAGGATTATTTAGCTCATAGTATGTGGATAATCCATAATCAACTAGCTCCAAGGTAGGGTGCCTTGGACAGAGGCAACAACTGAAGGAATTATGGCAGATACCAGAAGCAGCGAGAGCAAAGGGCAAAAGGGAAAAGCAAGCCCCTTCTCTCCCTTACATTGTCTGTAGGCTGTCCATATCAAGGCAGGTGCAGCATGTACACCACCAGTCCTAGCACTACACAATGAACCAATCACAAATGATAGATTCACCCACCTTTGAAAGGTCCACTCACCATCCCTAGATGAGGCTTTGGGGAAACATCTAGATACTATAACATTCCACCCCTGGCTTCCCAAAGACTCATGCCACATGATTATGCAAAAGATATTTAGTCCATCTCCAAAAGTTGACAAAGTCCTAACAATTTCAGCATTGCTGAAAAGTCCAAACCCCAAGTCTCCTCCGAGATCTAAAGCAAACTCTTAGCTGTGCCCCTGTACAAATGAAAAGAAAGTTAAAGTTAAGCATTCAGTGGCACACACACACAAAAAAATTACCACTCCAAGAGGACAAACAAGGATACAAAGGGTTGGGACTAAAGCATGTCCAAAATCCTGCAGGGCACACATTAAGTCCTGTAGTTCCATATAGAACATCTGGAGCTATTTGTAGTAAGTTGTGAGCTCCAAAAGACTTGTATAACTCTGCCCCCATGGTACTTCAAGTGGTGGTAGCTCCCATGGCTTCGTTTTGGCTGGCTCTTGTTCCCTCCTTGTAATTTCCTTTGGATGACCCACATCCCTGGCTCTTCCAAACTTTTGGAGTCTCCACTGCGCCTTTGGCTTCACCCTCACATCTTCACACAGTACCCTCTTAAGGGCATACTGCTTGACCTCTCAGGCCTTCTGAAGTTGGGGTGGAAGCTTTCTTAACTCCAGAATTGGTGAATTCTGCACTTGCCTAAAACCAGTGCCACATGGATGCTGCCAAGGTCCACTGCCAGCTGGAGCAGAAGCCAGGCTTTCCTCTTGGCTGTAGGGGTCAAGTACCTAGATTGCTGAACACTCTGAACCTGATTGTGAGGAACAGCTTCTGTATGCCACTGCCATTCTGGAACCTGGTGCAGGGCCACCATTTTGGAACATCATGTGGCCTCTGCCACCGCTCTGGAATGTGGTGCTCTATGGCTTCCTCCTCCAAGCAAAGTCTTTCACTTTGCAGTTTTGAGGCTACAAAGGATAAAGACCCACTGTTGCTTCCTCTGATGCCCCCAGGCCATCTTTTCTATTTTCCTGTTTCTTCTCAGCAGTCAAGATCTCAGCTCTGTCTTTACAGTCCACAGCTTTACTAGAGCTTTTTTCCTGGTCAGACTCATAATGTTTTAAACCATCCTTCTGGGTCTGCCTGGCAAGTGCAAGATCCTGAGTTTAATTCCCAGTATATAAAAAAATTTTTTTTCTCTTTTTATCAGTACCAGGGATCGAACTCACGACCACCTGCTTGCAAGGCAGGTGCTTATGCCGCTGAGCTAAATCCCCAGCCCCATTTAAAAAAAAAAAAACTTTAAAAAAATCATTTAGTGTAAATCATCCTGCTGGGCTCTTTGCTCTTGATTTGCAACATAAATCTGGCTAAAAGCCCCCAACAATAGCCATGCTACAGCCTCAACATTTGACTGCCTTGAAATTTCTGCTGCCTGATTAGTCTACCATCCATAATCAGTCTCATGCAAAGTCTCTGGACATGAGCAAATGGCAGACAAACTTTCTGCCAAGCTATCACACATCATCTCCAATAGCCAATACAGTCCTTCCCAGCAGAAACCTCCCAAGGCTGTTCTTTACCAGCAAGATTTCTTTTTTCTTTTTTTTTTTTTTTTTTTTTTTTTTTACCAGCAGGATTTCTATCAGCCTTCTGGCCTTTAGAGCTCTGGCCAGAATCTCCCATACAGCACACCCTAAGCTGTTCCAGTTCTACTCTTTACTCTTTTAGGTAACATCTCCAAACCCCTCCGAACTCTTCCCACAGGCCATTCCTAGAGGCTCTTAAACCACATGGTCAGGTAAGGTCACAGCATGACCCCATTCTCTAGTACCAAATTCTGTCTTGGGTGGGATTTTACTAGATAAACAGATGTAACACAAGACATACAAATGTATAATAAATTACAAGATTGGCTTAGAGTGGTCACCACAGGGTCAGATGAGGAAGTGTGCCAAGGGTGTCTGTATGCCGAAGGCCAAAGGATTCAATCCAAGAGCTAGAGTTCACTGTAGTGTCCTGTGCAAGTCCACACCAGCAGATCAATGGATCTTCAAGAGAAGGCTGAAGTCTATGCCACAAGGCTGAAGAATCCAAGGCAGAAGCTGAAGAGCTTGTGCTGGAAGCCAGGAAATGACATCCAAGCCAAAAGCAAAGACTGGAACTTCTCTGAAGAATGGAACCTCATCAGTCCATCCTCCTTTTATACAATCGAGATGATGAGCCTCCCTAGGGTAGGTCTTCTACACCCTAGGGTGTAGAACTGCTTGTCATTCAGCATGTTAATGAGAGTGTGATAGCCCTGTGACCCATCTTCTGCCCCAGTTGCCAGGCCATTTGTCATTTTTCTGAGCATCAATCCTGAGCACCTCATTTTCTCTGAGCTGCTCTGCCCCATGCTCCTGGACTCCTCTGGCAAGTGGGAGTAGAAAGAAAGGTGGGTGGGTGGTTCCTAACACACACGACCTGACCAGTGCAGGGGCATGCAATGTAGGCTGTTGTGCCACATACCCAGTGTGGCCTGCCTGGGGCCGCCATCCAATATCAGCATCAGCATTCTTCCAGGCCATCCCAGAGGTGAGAGACATTGGCATGGGGTGAGGATTTGGTTCAGGGTGGTCTGGGGACCTTTGGCCTAGATATATTCAGGTTCCTACAGAGATTCACTCACTCCCCCTACCAGGAAGACAGTTTTTTCCAATCACCGAGGTCTTGAAAAGCCAAACCCCAGAGATAGAGTAGGTGTACCCTGTTCTGTTGTAAGGCCCACAAGATCTACTCCCACAGCCTCCGTAGGCCACTGATCTCCCATGTTGGTTCCTCTGCATACACAACAGAAAGAAATCTTTTTGTAGAGTCTGTGCTGTAGTTGCTGCTGGAGGTAGATACAGGTTTTTGTTGCGGCTGAGATAGGAGGTGGACTACTTTTTGTTCCCTCTTGTAAGTCATGGAAGTCCTGATAAGATGTGGCTAGAGGGCAAGAGTGACCCTTGTGAAGTGCAGTGGGGCGCCGTGCCCCTCCCTTGGATGAGCCCAACAACCCTTTCTCCAGCTCAGGACAGTTAGCTGATGGGGCTGCAGGTCCCAGACTTACAGCTGGGGCCAGCCATGCCCTTAGGGAGGAGTGCCAGTGAGATGCCTCCTCAAGAGTAGCATGAAACCAGTTTCAGGCAGCACATCCAGACAGAACACAACTCCACACACCTGTACTTACCATCAAACATGTGTTTCCATTCCCACTACAGACCCCACAGCTGATTAGGTGTGGGGCACCACTCAGACCAAGCCAAAGCTCAGGGCATGAAAGGATGCTTCCAAACAGCCCTGGGACACAATCCTGTCGTTAGTGCAAGTGCAAACAGGACACAGTTATATAACCATGACTTAGCAGTGGACAGCTACACATGTATCAAAGCGACCAGCATGTAAGACTCTAAATAGGTGATAACAACACATGTATATATAATTATATAACAGGGGTAGGGATTTAGCTCAGCAGCATAAGCACCTGCGTTGCAAGCAGGCGGTCATGAGTTCGATCTCTGGTACCGATAAAAAAAAAATTTATATAACAGGCTGGGGGTGCAGCTCATTGGCACAGTACAAGGTCATGAGTTCGATCCAATTATACAATAAAGATGAAGGTAGGCGTTGCACCCTGCTCTGCTCCATGCTGCCTGCTGTTGTCGCAGCTGTCTTGCACACGTTTGCTCATTAAGCTGGGGACCTCACCTGGGAAAATCTCCCTTGAGCTCCTCAAGCAGGATTAACACCAGGTATTGCCTGTGGCTCCACATACAGCAAAGGGTATTAAGGTAGATTAACAGTCAATTTAGAATGCTCAGCTGAATGGAATCAGTGTGGTTCTGGGTATGGAAGACCCCCCTGAGGACTGTTGCCAACAG